AAAACTGTTTAGATTGTGCTGGAATCAGCAACCAAGATAAAATGCAGACAAAAGGACAGTCTTTTTTATTGAGTGCAACAGGACCTATCTACTTTTTGTGGTGCAAAAACTCTGCAAACACAAATGGAAGCCAAAACAAAGAGCTTTTCAAAGAACGAATACTAAGAGTCAGAGTTAGTGCTGTGAATCAAAAAAGCCTCATAAACACAAGCAGTGACCAGCTATGACAAAATAATGCTACATCTGCAGAACTGCAGATAACTTTCCGAGCCTGTGTAGAATTAGGATGAAGTTTCAGAGTAGCAATAGGTTAAATGTCTACTCATACAAATGTGTTAATGCAATTGAAACTCCAGAATTATAAAAATATACCCAATGTTATTATGGGGGAATGGGGGATCCAAACAATTTAAGTCTAACAGAACCTGTTTATGTCAATGGACATCACCAATTTTAAATCTGACACAAGGGTGAGGACCACTGTCTGGAAGTTTGTATATCATGGCAGAAGAAACAGAAGTTACAGGCTCAGAGGTAAAACTACAAGGTCCATGTGGCATGACTCCCGAGAGTGTGATATACTACAGAACAGGAGTACCTTTGAGAAAGGTTATCCATAAATTGTGCACAGGATTAGGGAACACTTGATACTAAATACTGCTGTTAAAAAAATGTTAAAAAGGTTATTAAATATTATGCCTCCAGTTACCCAGGGAGATTCCACATTCCTTAATGAATCAAGTTCAAAAGCAAATTGAAGAAATAGCCAGATAGGGTGTAATTTCTCTGGTGACAAAACCAACTGAATCGTGTTCAGGCATGGTTATTGGAACCAAACCTAGTGGAGCCATCAGAATATGCATTGACCTAACACAGCTCAACAAGGTGGGTGATACATGGAGAAACAGTTGAGAAATATGATCAGAAGCTCCATAGGGGTTTGAAATGCTTATAGGAAGACAGGCTTATCCTCAACAACGTGTAAATTTTCCGAGGAACCAATTCACAGAATATCAGCAAGAATGGAATAATGCCAGACCCACAGTAAACGATGGTTGTTAATGAATGTCTCGCTTGGTTCATAACTTGCAAGAATTTCTAGGCATGGTACACAATTGGTGAAACTTTTTGCCCCACTTGGCAATGGTTACTGAACCCTTGAAGCAACTCTTCATGAAGACACAGGGATGGTATTGGAGGATGCTTTTCAAAAGATCAAGGACACACAGACATCCACGGATGCCCTGGCCTATCCTTTCCATCTATCACAGAAGCTAATGTTTTAGCTACAAAATATGGGCGGCAGTGCTCTTTCAGAAGTAAACAGATGTTGGCAATTGATGTATGATGCGTCCAGAGCATTTACAACATTTACAACAATTGATAAGGAATTTGTTCAGGAGATTGCATTGTATATCATGCCACAGTGGTACAGTGGCCAGCAATGTAACAGTCTCATTCAAATACAACAGGAGCAACTAAAGAAGGACTGAGAGCTTGTTAGTATTAGCAAGATCAAAGGCCAATGGGTTGACAATGAAGATCAATTCTCAGCAATCCAGCATTTCACAACCCGAGATTGTTTGCTGGTGCTTGAAGAAAGGCTAGTCATTTCAGCTTGAGAGGCAAAATATCCTGAACAAGTAACATCAAGGATACTTGAGGATTATCCTTGCCAAGGCTTGGCTGAATGTATAGTAGCCAGAAAACTTAAAGGAAAGCCAGCATGAATGTACAAAAGGGAAATCATGCTTGACAAATCTATTGATGTTTTTTGAGAACATAACTAATTGAATTGATAAAGGGAATCCAGTGGATGTGGTTTACTTGAACTTTTTAATAAGATCCCACATAAGAGATTAGCATGTAAAATTAAAGCACGTGGAATTGACTTTGACATGGATACATAACTGGCTGACAGGCAGAAAACAAGAGTAGGAATAAATGGGTCATTTTCTGAGTTGGGTCATTTTCTGAGTGGCAGCCAGTGACTAGTGGGGTATCACAGGGATCAATGCTTGAACAAGATATTCACTGTATATATATTGATGATTTAGATGAGGGAGTTAAAAGTAATGAGTTGAAGTTAGCAGACAGCACAAAGGTGGGTGGGAGAATGAACGGTTAGGAGGATGAAGAGAAGCTTCTGTGTGATTTAGATGAGTTGAGTGCATGGACAAATGAATGGCAGATGAAATGTAATGTGGCTGAATGTGAGGTTATCCACCTTGGTAGCAAAATGAGGAGGATGAATTATTATCAGAATTGCAACAGATTAGGAAATAGGGAGGTGCAATGAGCCCTGAGTGTCTTGTACAGCAGTCACTGAAAGTAAGCATGCAAATATAGCAGGCAGTGAAGAGGGCAAGTGGAATATTAGCCTTCATAGCAAGAGGATACGCATACAGGATGTCTTGCTGCAATTGTAAAGGCCTTGGTGAGACCATACCTGGAATATTATCTGTGGTTTTTGTCTCCTTATCTGAAGAAGTATATTCTGATTATGGAGGGATTGCCACAAACGTTTACCAGATTGACTCCTGGAATGACAGCGTTGATATTGAAGAAGACCTGGATTGGTTAGGACTACATTTACTGGAGTTTAGAACAATGAAGGAGGGATCTCATAGAAACCTTTAAATTCTGGTAGAACTAGACAAGGCAAATGTAGAAAGGATGTTCCCAAGGACCAGGGAGTCCAGAACCAATTGTCACAGTCTAAGGATGTGTGGTTGGCCAATTCAGACTGAGATGAGGAGAAATTTCTTCATCCAGAGAGTGGTGAATCTTTGAAATTCTCTGCCACAGAAAGCAGTTGAGGCAAACACATTGAATGTTTCCAAGAAGGAGAAAGACATAGTTCTTCAGAATAAAGGGATCAAAGGGACTGAGACAAAAGTGAGAACAGTGTACTGAGTAGGATGACAAGCCATGATCATACTGAATGGTGCAGTAGACTCGAGGGGCCAAATGGCCAACTCTTGTTCTTCTTTTCTATATTTCTTTGAGATTGTTTACCTCATAGCTGACTGTAAAACTTTCATATAGCAGGAATGGATCTCTGTTTCTGCTACTGCTTGGATCAGCTCAAGCCTCTTGCAGAGAGAAGACCGTGAGGCAAACTATCGGATTTGCATCCTACAAAGTGATTAGAATTTAATGGATGACGTTAGTCTTAAAAAGAACTGACTCAAATTGGCCCACTATAGTTGGTACATATATAAGTAGCCCATTTAGTGTGACTTACAATAGAGCGCTGCAGTTGAGCACCTCAAGTTTAGTGGAGGAAGGAGAAATGTATTTGGTTGCTTTTGCCTAAACAAAGCAGCTGATTGGTGAAAAGGGTTGGTAAATATTTCTGTGTAGAGCTGGATGAACACAGCAGGCCAAGCAGCATCAGAGGAGCAGGAAGGCTGCTTGGCTTGCTATTTTCATCCAGCTCTACACCTTGTTATCTCAGATTCTCCAGCATCTGCAGTTCCTACTTTCTCCGGTAAATATTTCTAGTCTTTTAAGTAAAAGTCGTCAGTTTGTTTTCAGGTCTCTAGTCTTTTTTTCTCTTCTTTTCTTATAAATTGCTTGTTAGGTATAAAATTGTTGCTGGTGTATTAAAAAAAAGTTACAAGATAGTGTAAAGAGTGGAGACTTTTTAAGTGATAAGGGCAGGGATACTAACATGATTAATTAATAACATAAACAACATAGAGTTAGCAAGCTGGATGATGTATTGTATTTGCAGTGTGTGGGAGCTGCTGGATACCATATGATCCATAATGAATAGATATGTAGCAAGCGTCTACAGCCCAAGCAACCTTACATCCAAGTAGAAGAGCTGGAGTCCGAACTGTAGATACTGCACCACATCAGGAGGGGCTAAACTCATTGAACACTTTGCTTCAGGAAGCTGTCATACCTATCAGACTTGATCGTTCAAACTTGTTTTATGATCAAGGATGGGAGGGTGTGATTCTAGGTGAAGCAGGTCTCGGGGCAGCTCTCAAGCAGTCTTAGCCTCTGCAATTATCCAACAGTAACAAAATCTTGATAACTGAGTGAGAACTGGGAGGAGGGTGAGGAAACTGGTCACAATATGTTAATACAGGGAGCTATTCAAATGGGGTGGAGGAAATAGGATTGTAACAGTGGTCCGGGATGGTATTGTTAGGAGGATAGATCATGTTCTCTATATCTGTGAGCTTGAGTCTGAAAGACATGTTGCCTACCTGGTGCCACAGTTGAAGACTCCTTGGAGCTGGGGAGTAACATGGATTTGTGATTGTCCACATTGGTAATAATTACATAGAAACTAGAAAGGAGGTGCTGCACAGATTACTCATCTTTAGTCTAATCCCATTTGAGCACCCTGTCTGAGGGAGTGCTACTCTTTTGACAATGCCCAATGCAGCCTGACATCCTCCCACGTGGGACTGTCACAAGCGGGCTCTGCTAATATTTCTGAAAAGAGAGATACGTTACTGGATCTTTTCGTCTTGCATTCATCAGGACAAACAAAAGAATGCCAAATTTTGAACGATCACAACAATTATGACTGCAGGAGAAAAGAGTGCTGATTGATTGGCAAGTCAATTCTGATTGGCAGAGGCATTATGCAGGAAAAGCAGTGGGGATCTGTTGGCACCCCATGCTATCAGATGATTCAAAAATGTTGCAAGGCTTGAACATATTTGCTTTGTTTTTATAGGACCAGTACATAACAATAACTGGTAATCTAATATTTCTGTTTGTGTGATGTTGCTGTGTGCAATTTGGCAGCCATGTTTTCTACATTACCAAATTGACTACACTTCAAAATTGCATTGAATGGCAAGTGTTTTGGGATATAGAGAAGGGTGCCACAAAGAAGAGAAGGGTGCCACAAAGAAGCAAGTTGTCACTGCTTGCTGCACTTTGCCCAGTAATCATACTGGGTTTACTTCAGAAAAGGTGATGCTCCTGGTTCACTTCGATATTTAAAGGCTTTTCAAATGACCTCGTTGCAGCTGGAGAATTACGTCCAGGAGAATATGAAGGCAGAGATAGTTCAGATCCAGCAGACTGCTGTCCAGAACCACACAGCTACTATCCTGGAGATTGGCACCAGTCTGCTGAGTCAGTCAGCAGAGCAAACACGCAGACTCACAGACGTGGAAACACAGGTAAGATCCCACTGGGGACGGGGAGGGGGTGGGAATGTTGTTGATGGGCAGGCGGAGTGTTTGGGGGAAAGGTCAATCAGCTGCTGCAAGGGGTACAAAATGTAACAGAAACCTTCATGCTTAAACTGGGCCAAAATAATACACGCACACACACACAAACAGAGTCTCTAGCACCTCATTCCAAATTAAATAAGAGCTTTGAAAAACATTCACTGGCAGAGATCACACAAGTCTGAGTGATTCTTGCAAATATGTCTCTGGTATCTTTATCTGGTTACAGCATGTTGTAAGAATTTTGTTTAAATTGGTTTGTGAGAGTGATCAGCTCTGCTGGCACAGAAACAAAGTTGAGGAAAATGTCAATAAATAATTTAAGATTGCGGGGATTCTAAAGCTTGTTCCTGAAGGAACGGGATGATTTTCACAGTCTTTGTGTTAACACCTAATACTCATCACATTTAATCACTTATTTTTCAACTCTTTCTGTTTGGGGGTGGGGACTGGTAGGAACTGGAATGGGGAGCTTGTTAAAGATGAAGAGATAAAGAATTAACCCATAAATCTAAAAGCTCCCTCTTTAAGATGATGCCAAAGTTTTGGATTCAGCCAGACGTTGGTAAAAATGACCCCGAGGTTTTTGTATACACATTCACACATACATTCACACACAGACACTCATGCACACAAACACACACACGCATGATGCAAGCACATATGTATTCACACACACACTGACATGCACTGACACACGTGCAAATGCATACACACAAGCACTCATATACATCTATGCACAAACATACACACACATCTGCACCCATGCACACTCATGCACACACACATGGGTGCACACACTTGCACATACATATACCCATGTACATACTCACTCACACACACTGCCAAACATACACACACTCTTGCATGTGCATTCACTCATACATACATTCCTACATACATTCCCACACGTGCATATGCACACTCTCACGGATGCACACATTCACACACATATACTGACACTCAGGGAAATACACATGCACACTCTCACTCACACATGCATAAATACACACATTGATGCACGTATGTACCCATGTGTATATGCACACATGCACTTACAGCTACACTCACTCGCATTCTCACATGTACTCACACTTCTAAATGCAGATTTTCACACGTGCATTTACATGCATTCTCAGAAACATTCACATAAGCGTACATAATTATTTCCTTGTAGGTTCCTTTTGAGATTTTCTCAAGGGATACTTTTTTGGGGGGGCTGCAATTTAGTTTTTCAGGTTTTTTTGGTTTTTGAGGTTCCTTTTTCATGGAAATGTTTATTCTCAGTAACTCAATGGTTAGGTGATGTGCTCTCATAGTAACTTTGGCTTCTGTATCAATGTTGATGCATGATGTATTTGGATTCACACAGAAGTAATTCTTTTTTAAAAAAGACATACATCTCCTCAATACGCATTATTACTCCATTGAACTTAAAAGCCAAAATACACAAGAAAAGCATTAATTCCCCAGACACTGTGGTATTTAAAGCCAGCCGGCACAAGGTAGCAACAAATGCTTATTTTTGAAAAAAAAACACATACAAAAGTATATACAAAAATCTATCACATTTGCCTTGAATTGGTGTGCTCACAGCTAAGTGGTTGCAAGTTTATCTCTAATTAATGCTGTATCTCAAGTGAGACAATATGAGATAACGCATAAAGGTTAATCTTTTTAAATAAAACTATGCAGTATGAAATTAATTAGTTGGCATAGTATTCATTACAATAGCATCCATTTCATTTTCCTCTATAGTAGCTTCTGAACTTCTGAAACTTTACACAGGAAAGGCCATCTGCATTTACTAGGAACTAATTTCTCATAGGAACTTCAGATTTTCCTGGTTACTAGTTAGCTGAGTATCCATTGTTGAAAGGTTTAAAACTGCTATTTCCCCTTTCCAGCCCTTCTCTTCCATTGTAAATTCGCACTCCCTTTTACAGCCCCCATCCTACTCCCAATTGTAACTCCTCTTTCTGAACAGCTCCTCTCCTGACCGCTGCCCGTCTTCTCTCCTTTTGCAGTCCCTTACTTGCCTCTGCAGTCCCTCCACCTTTTCCCATTGCCTCTCCCCTTCTTGGATACCCTGTCTCCTCTTTGCAGCTCCTTCTTCCACTTTTCAGCTTCAATTTAATCTCTGCTCCCCAATCTTGCTCAGTCCCTGGCTCCTAGTTACTCTTCCCTACACCCATCACAGTCCTGGGCAGCCTTGCCTGCCCGCCACCACACCACAACTCAGCAGCCTTAATCCCTTGGCAGCAGACACACACACTCTCACAGTTGCACATAGATACACACACAAATGCTCACATAGATGTGTACACACGCACATACACAGACAAACACACAGACGCACACACCCAATCACACACAATCATTCACTGCTGCAGACTCGCACCCAAGCAAACGCGTAAAACCTTCTTTCAGAATTTGGATCAATGTAGAGTTCCAGGTTTTTCCGGGATTTATGGTTTGAATTTTTCTGATGCAGCACTACCATTTCCAAGTGACTTACCAAACACCCATGAGAAACTCAGTCTGGTGAGTATCCTTCACAAGTTTAGGACGTGAACACAGGCCATCCACGGGAATAGATTAACTGAATGCTGCCTGGGTTTGTCCAAACCCACTGTGAACATGCTTTCCATTGAGTAGTGGGGGTCCCTGGGGGTTCGAATAGGCTCCCTAACCCAGAGGCACTGAGGTTAACACCCACAATGTCGCATTTGGCTGGGTATTGGCAATCTTATGATGGGAAAGCATATCAAGACATGTAGAGTCTAAGTGTGTCTATTGAATAAAGATACAGGTTATCATAATCTAATTGAAAGCTGGGAAAAATTTGATGGGCTGAGCAGCCTCCTCTTATTCCAGTGTTCCTTGATCAGCTGTCTCAATGTAGAAAGTGTAAAGTACCTGTACATTCACGGTCCAAATGGTAACATAATGAACAACAATGCAGGGATTTTGCCATGAGAGATAGCGAGAACTGCAGATGCTGGAGTCAGAGATAACACAGTGTGGAGCTGGAGGATTTTGCCATGTTCTTTTTATCTCCTATGTTTAATAATTACTTTAGTCTGTTTCTGTGAATAACTGTTTCATTCTGAAGTGCTGAGAGAAAATAAATAAGTCACAAGAATAATGATTTATGAACTTACATTTAGGTCTTGAACCAAACCTCAAGGCTCGAAATTCAGCTTTTGGAAAATTCCTTGTTTACATACAAGCTGGAGAAACAGCTGATTCTTCAGACCAATGAGATCTATAAGCTGCATGATAAGAACAGGTAGGCTCATTATATCCATAAGATTGTATTATTGACAGTGCACTACTTGATGATAAGAGACAACTTACAAGGTTCCCATTTCTGAAACAAAAGTGGGGACATTCTCACACTGGGTTATAGCTCAAGGTGATTGATAGTAAATGAACAGTCCCCAGTAATTGGACGGACTTCTGATTTGCTGTCCTCAGTAGTATTGTGGTTAGTATCCCTGCCTGTCACACGGGAGACCAGGGTTCAACTCCCTGCTGGGGAGGCTCTAAATGTTTAAGTGTCATGGTGGCTCAGTAGTTAGCAATACTGCCTCACAGTGCTAGGAGCTCGGGTTCAATTCCAGCCTCGGGTGACTGTCTGTGTGGGTTTCCTCTGGGTGCTCTGGTTTTATCCCACAGTCCAAAAGCTGTGCAAGGTAGGTGGAGTGGCTATGTTATAGTGCCCGGGGTGTTTAGGTTAGGTGGGTTAGACTAGGGGAATGGATCAGGGTGAGATGCAGCGTGGGCTTGTTGGGCTGAATGGCCTGTTTCCACACTGTATGATTTCAAAGTATAAGCTTTGCATTTTTGCCCAGGAAAAGTTTCACCCCTTCTTAGCTTGATTGGAAACTCTGATTTCTTCAGCCGAAATTGTTCATTTGTCTCATTGTACAGACCAGGCAACAGCTGTTGCAAGTGCAAGTGGTGTGGATAGTACGGCCATAGTCAGCCTTCCCTGAACTAAAATTTATCCGGTTACATTATTTCAGATTCAATCTGCAGCAGTTGTAAAATCATTAGGACCACTGTTCCCCTTAATTTGTTTTTGGTGTGCATGGAGATTTATTTACATGTATGGTCATTTTTAGTTTTTTTTGCACATCCATGCATATGTCTTAAAAGGGTTGAGGCGTGCATGAGCTACATGGTACCTCTGGGTTCCTGCATAATGTACAGCTTTCAAAGACCATTAGTTGGGCCTGGAGTGTAGCAAATCTAAGCTCAATAACCAATCAGCACAGTAGAAAGAAAAGCAAAGATTTCTATTTCTATATCATCCTTCACAAACTTTGGTTAGCTCGAAGTACTTGACAACCAATTATATACTTCTGAAATGTTGGCACTTTTGCAAAGTAGGAAACACAGCAGCTAATTTTCACACAACAAGTTTCCACAAACAGCCATGTGTTGTGTCCAGATAATTTCTTTAAAGGTATGTATTTAAACTGTATAGTTGACCCAGGGAGAACTCCCCAGCTCTTCTTTCATTAGTGCCATGGAATCTTTTACCGCCTCAGAGGGCAGACAGCATCTCATTTTAACAAATCATCAGAGAGACAGCACCTCTGACAGTGCAGCAGCCCCTCTGTTTTGCCATTCAGTGTCAGCCTGGAATTTGGGGTTGAGTCATAGAGTGGGATGTGAGCCCCCAACTCTGACTCCAATGAGTCAGCAGAGGGAATACAGTCAGTGAATAATGAGTCAATCAAGAAAATACATAGTAATAGGAGAGTCTAAGTTCCTTTTGTACAGGGATGAGGTGGTCGACACGTTGAAGGATGCTGTGAATATTCCTCATGTTTGGGCATGTCCAGAGGGTTAAATGAAACTTGTAATGCTATTGGGTATGAACAAGCTATGTCATCATTCTCTCCAGCAGTAAGCAGAGTGGGGTGTAACTCAGTCAATACTTTGCTTCCCCACATACACCTGACACAACCCTCAGTTAAACGTGACTGGATGTTTAGCTCCATCATTGAATCATAGAACCATATTACATAGAAAGAGGATATTCAGCTGGTCATGTCAGTGTCAGCTCTTTGATAGAGCTATCCAATCAGTCCCAGTTTCCAGCTGTTTTCCCAAAGGCTTGTACGTTTTACCTTTCAAGTTATTATTGTATCGAAGTCCCTCCACATTCTGGATCATTGCATAATTTTATTTCCCCTCATCTCAGCCCCTAATTCTTTTGTCAATCATCTTAAATGGTTGTCCTCTAGTCAGCAAGCAATGCAAGATAGTTCTTGAGATGGAAAATGTAATGCGTTTGTTAAAATGAATGATGTTGCGTTGAATTGAATCTAATTAGCTTTACTGTCACAAGTACTCGAATAAGTGCAGTGAAAAGTTTACAAGTCACCACCTATGGCTCCATCTTAATACAAGATACTTAGGTACAGGTTGTTCAGTACAATTTCTAAAAAAATGAGAAAAATAAAGAAATAAGTTCAGAACAACAGTCCTTCCAAACCAGTTCATGCTGGCACCAACCTCTAGTCTGCACCAGGCCTTGACTCCAGACTGTTGGGTTGTTTGACTAATTCCAAGAGGGAGGTTAAGAGGATTTTCAATCAGTCATTTGGGAGAAAAAGGGATGAGTGAAGTAGCTTTGGACTGAGAGATCACTGTGGTTCAGTCTGAATCCACGCACTCTGAATATTAAACAGTTACGGTGAAGTTATTTCGTCCTGTAGATATTCACTTCAAAATGACAAGTCTGTTACATGTAGAATAGCCCTAATGAACAGCCCTGACTTGTTGTACAACTTTGTTAGTTTCTATAAGGAGAACCTCACTCTACAGGTGAGGGGAAAAAGGAACATGCTAACTGGGTAAGTGAGGGAGGAGGAACATAAGCATCAACATGAACCGGTTGGGCCAAATGGCCTGTTCCTGTGCTGGGCAGCTCATTTTCTTCCAATAAAGCACCGATTCTACCGTTTAGAAGCAAAAAAGAAAATAAATTTGAACAGTTTTACGCGAAAACCTTAGCTGGGACCTGAGGCAGTTTTTATTTCTAGAACCTATTTACACAACTCACACAGCATTTGATGCCATTAATCAATCTGTGCTTTGAGTTAATGAGCACTTCACGGGGGTAACAATACAGGAATGTTTGGCAGTCTTGCTGAAATATTTCTGCTCACTCTGTCAGCATCCTCTGGTTACTTCTGTTTTAAATACCCAGAATGGAAGATCGTAAACTCACTGTAAGTGCAAAGGAACTGCGCTTCAAAATTACAGTGCAGTTGGGGGGAAGCAGAGAAGGAGCAGATCAGATTTCTAGTCTGAAGCTTCCTCGTTTGAGGTGTGAATCTGACCACTTTATTGTTCCTGAATTGGTGACTGGCTGGAGGGAGCAGAACAGAGTTACATCAGATTCTAGAGCTCAATGATGAAGAAACACCTAATGAAAAATTACCTTCTGAAAATCCCCAGGATTTGAAAGATTACTCCTTAGTTTTCTCAAAGCGGGAAACATGATACTTCTTCATTAAAGTTGGTTTGTATCCAAGATTACTTAAGCAAGTTTGGGCATTATTTTGACAGATGAGAGCTTTACTTACCAATGTCATTTCTAAATTCTGGATTGATATCAACTTTAAGAATCATTGTTACTGTGGTATTTGATGTAGCTCTGGAACTTTCCTTTCTCAGCCCTAGTTTTCATTATTCCCAATGATACATGACTAAAGCAAAAAGAATGCAATGACAGAGCATTTAATATATTTCCTTGCATTTGAAGAAAGACTTACATTTTTCAAGCACATTTGCCACCTCAGGACATCCCAATGCTCCATACAACCAATGAAATACCTTTTTGGGGTGTACTTACTATTGCAATGCAGAAAATGCAGCAGCAAATTTGTTCACTGCAAGTGCCCACAAAAAGCAATGTTAATGAACAGGCAAACTGCTTTACTGTTGATGGTTGGAGACAAGGTACATTGGACAAAAAGTATCTAATGATTTTGTTTGTTTGGAGAGATGTCCGAACCAGGGAAGTTGATTGCCAACAATTTTGTGCTGATATAACGTATAAAAAATGCAGTGTTTTATTGTGTTGCATGTTTCCATGTTAAGCACATATTTGTTTACATAGACAGTAAACACATTGCTTTTTGAATGTTTACAGATCTAAAAATTATAGGCCTTTAATAAAATTCCTTCTCTCTCTCAAGAGCTGACCATTGTAATGTTCCCTAAATCGGTTTACCAGCACAGCATAGAACAGATTAAAGAAATATGCATTAAAATATGGCAGTTATCTTCGATTTCATTTAGGTTTCTTTAAACGGCTCAGTTTCTTTGAGCTATGATGGAATTCTTGCACCTCAGGTTTCATTGCAGGTTCCCTACCAACTATCAGTAGAGATCCCTCAATACAGAATCTCAGTGCAGATCCCTTATTATGGGATCCGTATCACATGTCCATGCTGATCCCCTATTACAGGTCTGCAATCAACTATCAGTACAGGTCCCTCATTACAGACTCCCTGTTTATGTCAGTTTAGACCTCTCAGTACAAGTATCAAGTATCAGTACAGTCCCTCAGTCCAAAGTCCATATCAACTACCAGTCCGGACCCTCAGTATAGACTCCCCATCTACATCAATGCAGACCGCTCAGTACAGACTTGCTATCAACTATCAGTGCTGGTTGCTCATTACAGTCTCTTGATATTACAGACTCCCTAGCAATCATCAGAGCAAATCTTTTGTTTCTGGGCCTCCTCCAGTCTCACAATGACACCACCCGCAAACTGGAGGAGCAGCATCTCATATTTCGCCCTGGGAGCCTACAGCCCAATGACCTGAACATGGATTTCACCAGTTTCAAAACCTCCCCACCCTGGCCTCATTCCATGCCCAATCCTTCCTCTCATCCCTGCCTCCTTGACCTGACACAGCCTGTCCATCTTCTTTCCCACCTATCCGCCCCTCCCACCTCACTGACCAATCCCCACCACTCCCTACCTGCTCTCAACTATCACCATCCCACCTACCTTCCCCAGCCCTACCCTCCTCTCTATTTATTTCTGAGCTCCCTTACCCCCTCCCGCCATTTCTGAAAAGGATCCCGACCCGAGACATCAACTCTCCTGCTCCTCTGATGCTGCCTGGCCTGCTGTGTTCCTCCAGCTCCATACTGTGTTATGTCTCCTTTCTAGCTCTCTTTTGTTTTCATTGCCATTGTTCAGACTGGGAATCCAGTCAGCTGAGAAATAAGCAGCATTTTTCCTTCTCTTTGTAATTGTCCTGTACTAATTCTACACTCAGATAAAGCTGATTTGATCTGTTGCCTGTCTCCACATCTGTTGTGCAATGAAAGTGCTAATTTAAACCTTGAGGTGGTGAGACAATGTGATTTGTTATTCATCCAGGGTCAGATTACATATTCTCAGGGCTCGTCTGTAAACCCCAGTCTAGTAAAATACAAATGTGTATCGAAATTCATAAAGAACCACATTGGCAGAATATTTACATGCTGCATTAATAATGTAAATTATACCACAATATATTACACATAAAGACAGCGTATTTGCACAGGGCACTGAGTTAACTCATCTTTGTTATATTGCCAGCAAATAGTAGGCCTTAAAAATGTATAAGCTGCTAATGTTTTGTGTTCAGTAAACTTGTCAGCTTGCCTGTCACCTGTACCTTATCGTGAACTCAAATGTCTCAAATCTACTCCATACTGAATTGCATATTAGCTCCGTATTAAATGAGGTGTTAAACAGAGGCTCCATGTCCTTTCTGAAGTAAAAGATCTCATGACATATATCTTGAAGAAGAATAGGGGGTTCTCCCTGGTGTCCCAGCCAATATTTATCCCTCAACCAACATCACTAAAACAAGATTAGCTGATTATGAGTCACATTGCTGTTTGTGGGACCTTGCTGTGCACAAGTTTGCTGCTGTGTTTCCTACATTACAGCAGTGACTGCATTTGAAAAAGTACTTAGTTGGCTGTAAAGGGCTTTGGAACTCCTGTGGGAGTGATGAAAGGTGCTACACAAATGCAAATCTTGCTTTCTTTCAACCCTTCCAATCCCCACTTTCTCAGCTTTCTGGAACAGAAACTTCTAGAAATGGAAGGCCGGCATAAAGAGGAGATTGAGACGCTAAGGCAGGAGAGGAGCAGCCTCCAGGACCTAGTCCTCCGTCAGAACCGGGTCATCGATGAGCTGGAGGCAAGACTGAACCGAGTTACTGCCAACAACACCAGCTTGCAGAGACAACAACAAGAGCTGGCTGACACGGTGCAGAATCTCCTGAAACTGGTCTCGCAAGGAGGAGGAGGAGGTGAGCGATGACTCTAAATAGTCACTTATGAAGCACATGGTTCCTCAAAAGAAAGAGTCAAGCTGAGAGCCGAGCCCTCAGAGATGGTTGGAGAGTGACACCCAGCCAATGCGTCCGAGGGTAACATCCCTCGCTGTATGTCTGTGGTAGGACTTATTCCATTTTCAAAATGGAAATCGGATAAAAACAAGGCTGATACCAGAACTGTGAGGATTATACCTGGCAGGAGGGGATGGGCAGGTTGGGCTTTATTCTTCTGAAAAGAGAAGGCATGTATAAAATTATGAAAGGCTTTGATGGAACAGACGCAGAGCATGGATCAACTTGTGGGAGGATTTAAACTCAAGGCTCGCAGTTTAAGATAGCCACTAAGAGATTGAATTCAGGACAAAAAGACATGTTTACTGAAAAATTGGTAAGAAAGTCGAACTCACTAGTGCAGTGACTGGTTGAAGCAGGGAAAGGGAGGCTAGACAAGCATAGGAGGGAAAGGGGAAGAGAGGATGAGGAAGTTTAGATGAGGAAGTTTCACAGGAGGCTCAAGTGAAACATAAACAATATCATGGACCTCTGAATTATATACCCTATGTAATCCTAGATTGATGCCTCCTTTTGTATTTTTATTCAAACCACATTTCTGCTCTTCCCCTATGATCCTGCACAACTCACAACAGTTCGATGTGAGAGACCAAGGCAGTCAGCTCCGTTTTGCTTGCTCTGTTTAATTAATCTTCGTTGCCAGTTACTACAGGGAGGAAGCAAGTGCTGCCTGGTTTGCTATCTCCCTGGCTTCCTGTCTGGAGTCTCCCCTTAAGGTGGAGAATGTGCTGCTATCAGTTACACTCTGACTATTAAACATATAAGGAATAAAACTGTTCTTTGAGAAGTTTTGAGGTATTACTGTATTAATGTGCATCAAATTTGCACTTTTATAGTGGCCAACACAGTCAAGGAAGTACTCCTTGAAGCATAACCAATGTTGTAATGTAGCAAATGTGACAATTGATCAGATAGTGCACAGCAAGATCCCACTGATAGCAATGTTCTAAATGCCAGTCAACCTGTTTTTAGTGATGTTGATTTAAGAGATAAGTATTGATAGGGTGTGGAAGCTAATTCTGCAGCCCTTTTTCAAAGCATTGACTGCGGGATCTTTCACATCCAGCTGAGAGGGCATGCGTGGCCTCAACTTAATGTTCTTATCTGAAAGACAACAACTCCAATCACATGACACTTCCTCAGCATAGACTCTCTGAAAGTATAGTGTTCCCTTAGTGCTGATCATCTGACAGTTTAATACTTTCTCAGTACTGAGCCTCTTACAATGTAGCACTCCCTCAGTACTGACTCTCTGAGAGTGCGATGCTCCTTCAATACTGACCCTCTGACAGTGTGATGCTCTCTCAGCATTGACCCTCTGACAATGCAGCATTCCCTCAGTACTGACCCTCTGACAGCGCAGCACCCTCTCAGTGCTGACCCTCTGACAGTGTGGCACTCCCTCAGTACTGACCCTCTGACAGCGCAGCTCTCCATTAGTACTGACCCTCTGACAATGCAGCACTCCATTAGTACTGACCCTCTGACAATGCAGCACTCCGTTAGTACTGACCGTCTGACAGTTCAGAACTCTCTCAGTACTGACCCTCTGACAATGTAACACTCCCTCAGTGCTGACCCTGTGACAATGCGATACTCCCTCAGTACTGAACCTCTGACAGTGCAGCACTCCCTCTGTACTGACCTTCTTTCAGTATAGCACTCCCTTAGGACTGACCCTCTGACAGTGTGATGCTCCTGCAATACTGACTGTTTGACAATGTGACACTCCCTCAGTTCTGATTCTGATGATACAGTATTCCCTGAGTACCGACCATCCGAGAGTGCAGGGCTCCCTCAGCACTCACCATTGCTCAGTACTGACCTTCTGACGGTGAAGACTACTGCAGTTGTCTCAGAGTCCAACCATCCCCAGTCAATGCCATAGCAGCATTAGTGGTGTTTGATACTAACAGTATTCTGCTGTGAAGCCAAACTGCTGTTCTCCCTGTCACACCACTGAGTCGTGGTATATGGATTTCAGTGCTGGTCCGATGCCAGCTGTGTAAGTCATACATCCCAAAGTCTGGAGGATCAAATCAAACAGCATATCTCTTCAACTGTTCGCAACAAGCAGGATACTGACTGTACACAATCACCCTGTGTAAAGCACACTACTTAGTATCATTTGTTAGGTGTTGAATAATATTTGCCGCAGAGTCTTCAGTGTGTGAAGAATTATTCTGGCAACCAAGTTAAGATTGTCAGTTGGGCTTGCAGCACTTGTGTGCATTGGAAGTTACATATCTTAATACACATTGCCTTGTTCTTTGAAGACAGAAAGAACATATACACTGCACCCATTTCAATGCAACAAAATAGTTTAAAGCCATTTTCTGGTCAGAGCAATGCCTTGACCAGTTTAAAATTTAACCAAATCCTTGCCATTAACTATCAATTAACATTAATTGGTTCATTCTCCAATAATCAGAGAACATTTGCAAATCAGTCAGCAATCTCCTTTCATAGAGACTGTTGTTTTCCCTTTGGTATTTCCTGTGACTTTCCTGTTATCCAGAAATGTATTGGTGTCTAGTGTCAAGCTTTAACTGGCTAGCATTTGACTTAATATTTAGGGCAAATAAACAAAAGTATCCAAGGAAAATTGAAAATAAACATTAACCTTTTGAACAACATGTGACTGTCCTCCCATGTTTGCATGTAGCAGTGTCCTGGAGGTTAAGTTTTATCTCTCGGAGACTCTGGTGTGGCTATCCCTAGATCAGTGTATGGTTTCCAATTACAAACCCTTTAAACACTACTTGTGATCTCACTTGTAAAATCTTCTCTTGTGTCTATCAGTTTCCTGCTGTTCTAGTAAGTAGTTTGTAACCTGCAATCTGACAATCACAAAGGTAATTCCTCTCTTCTCAGTGCTTGATCTATGTTTAATATGCTCTGTGGTAATTTGGTCTTTTTATTTTCTGCTCGGTTTCAGTCCTGTTGAAGTGTTTGTATCAGAAACCTTGTTTCCTGAATTTCCTGTTTCCTTTTGTGTTTTCCCTCATTTGTTTAGTTTCCCAGAATGAGATAACTTGAAAGGTGGCTGAACATTTTGGTCCAGGATGAGTACCCAGTGAGTGACATTTACCTGTCCCCCATATTGCCTCCATTGAATTGGTGAACTGAATTCAGGTGTAGCTTTAAGACCAGAGTGTCTTCTACACATTCACACACTATGGCTTCAGTGCAGCTGATACGATCCAATGATCAAAGTGACAGCTATAAAACACAGTTTGCATTGTAGCCTGGGTGGCAGTCTTAGGACACAGAGCTGGGAGGGTAACATGAGCCGCTCCTGATCTCTGACTATCTCATTGCAGATTTGTGATGGCCAGAGTTTGATGACAGATGAAACTCAATGTTCTCCTGCATGTCACCTTGCACCTGCTCTGGTTCCACTCAAAGGTCATCGGGTGATGCGTTGATCCCGAGTCATACACCTGGAGTCTCTCGGGAATGCTTTCAAAGGTCTTGTCTTTGCCTCTGTGCATTTGCAGCAGCCAATCCTGGACCAGAGAAGAGTTTACCTGTAAGCTTTGCCACCTTTCCCATACTCGGAAGGATATTTGAAGGGAATCACAACAGTCTGACAGTCCACCTGCGTTTGCCTTCTTAATTAAACCCAATTTCAGGGTGCATCCTACAACCTATGTAATTTTAAGTCATGATGATGCAACAAAATGATGTGAATTGTGGCAAATTTTAAGATAAAAACTTCCTTATTTCCTAAGACAATCAATCGAGTTGACGAAGATTCTGATTATCTGTGATAGCTCATTACGCGTGCTTGGGGAAATGGGACCATAATGGTAATGTCACTGATCAAGTAATACTGAGCCCTAGGCAAGTGTTCTCAGGCTTTGGGTTCAAATTCCACCATGAAAACTGAATTAAATAAAGTTAAATTCAATTAATAAATTATGTGAATATCATTGATCATTAGTTTGCTAATGTTCTTGAGGGAAGGAAATCTTACCTGGGCTGGCCTACATGTGACTCTAGACACACAGCAAATGTAATTGAATCTCAATTGCCCTCTGAAATGGCGTACAGCCACTCTGCTTGACAGCAATTAGGGATGGGCAACAAATTTTGGCCTTGTCACTGATCTGTGCAGCCTGTGAAAGAATAAAAAATACTGCAGAAAAATAGACAATTGGAAGGTAAATCGTGGAATTTTCCCGCCTCTGAACAGTGTGGGCATTGGAGAGAAAGTGGGGAAATTATGGTGAGGATGGAAAAATTAGATCCTCCCTGCTGAGGAAGAAAAGAGTACAGTTTTTGTTATAAGATTTCAACAACTAGATTAGAATCTCACTAGTAAGTGGTGAGGGGCCTATTTGCAAGCATTTACATCTCATTATTATTTAATCTCACCTTATTTGTACGTGTGTTGCTATTTTCGCAAGCAATGGAAAAAAACTCAATTGTACCAATTTCTGACTTGAAAGTCATAATGCTTACTTGGTGGCTGTAGCTCATCGGAGTCCTCTACACCTTGGCCAGCATTCCCCAACACTTCATAGAAGTTTTCGATCATTGAAGACTTCTGGTACAATGGTGGTGGAGTATGGCTTCTGAACCTGGGGCTCATCTGCTCCGTCCGCTTTTCTTTTTTCATTTCTTTTCTTTCTTTTCTCTCTTCTCTCATTTTTGTTTCTGTTTTATTTTGTTTTACTTACCTCTTGGTGAAGACTTCAATTGCAGTGACAGCATTGGTAGCAGTGAATGGGCCCAGCAGCATGCACTCAAGTAGGCTCAGCAGCACGAACTTGTGGCGGTTGTGCTGGAGGCGAGTTTGGGGTCTTGGTGACTACTGCGTCATTGAGGCAATCCTAGCGCATCTCAGGGCTCTTAGCTTGCTCTTAGTACTTACTCACTGTGTGTCCACTTGGATG